ATAAGATGTTTCTTTTAGTGACCAAAATGCTTAAAGAAATTTTAAAGTCTATTTTGTTCAATTCAGTTTCTTACTTTTTATATTGGTTTGACAGTTCAGAAAGCCTAGAATTAGATGAGCCCGAAGAAACACCGTACTTCCTCGTGGTTGACAGGGCATATTTGAAACAAAATTTCGGAGTTCCAACATGGCTTGTTAGCTTTTTTAGCTCTGTCATTTGAAGCAAGTGACTTAATCTTTCTGCACTACAGTTTATTTGTGAAACAGGAGTGATGGTATCCAGTATTATTAGTAGTAAAATACTGTAGTTAAAATGAGGAATAAATAATAAAAGCAGACGTTGCTGTCAACAGAGGGTGGGCTCTGATCTGTGCATTTTGCATGTGTTGTCTCATTGAATCCTCATAACAAGCCCATAAATTATGTACTATGACCCCTATTTTACAGATGAAGAAACTGTGACACAGAAATGTGGAGTGACTTGCCAAGTCAGCATTTGGCAGCTGCAGGGCTTGAGCTCAAACAGTCAGGGTCCCCTGTCTGTCTTACAATCATGTTATTATCTTGACTCTTCGTAGATGGTTTTATTGTAACCTTCATAAGTAGATGATCTCATACATATAAAGTAGTTAGAGCAGTGTCTGGCACTGATTAAGGGCCAGTAAATGTTGGTTGCTGTTTGTACTACTGCTATTTCACTACAACTTAATGTAATAGTTAAACTGGAGAGAATGAGTATCGGAAGCTAAATCCTTACCTAAAACACTCATATCTTCTCAACAATATTACTAATGCTTTTTTAGGGAAATCTCTATCACACCAGTCTGTTACTGTTAATATTCTCTGTTTTTATGTTTGTTAATTATCTGGTTTATTGTCTGTCTGGCTACTAGACTATGAACTCCAGAAAAGAAGTCTGTCTCCTTTCTTTCTCTTTTGTACCCAGTGGTTAGCAGAAAGCTGAATATATTATAGGCACTCAGTAAATATTTGTTATAAATAAAGTGAAGGCAATAGAAATAAAAAGAAAAAGATCATTTTTCCATTGGTCACATGCACAGCCTATCACAAAAAATATTAAAATGAGAAGAACACATTTCATTATTTTTCTCTAACCATTAGAAAATGGCAGCCATGCCCGTGGCATGAAGAATATGTTGTGTAATAGAATTGTAAGCAGAACCTCTCAGGCCTACTTAACAGTCTCACTGCCTTTCTCACTGGATCACCTATCTGCTTTGTCTACAGAGTGACGTAAGAAGGCGGATATGTCCTCTAGAGCTAGAGCCAAGTCCAGGTCAGCTCCAGAAAACCAGGAGATCCCTTATTTATGGGGGATTTATTGGCTTGGAGGAAAAATAATTACATTCGAAGATGAAGATTTTATTTTTCCAAAAAAAAGATATTTATGCTAGTATATCATGCTATATATTATACCTATTATTTTATATAGATGCTATATATTATATATGCTATATACTATATATTTATATCATATGCTATATATAAATATTATATTTTATACTAGTATATCATGCTGTATATTAACTACGTTCTTAGTTTTACAAAACTTAAATGTCTGATTCCTACTCTATGAAAAAATATCACCAAAATAGATTTCTCTCCTTTATGTTCTCAGCAAGAATAAACTGTTAGAGAGTACTACTATGTCTATTTAAATATCTTAAACCACATATTAGCTTTCAAAATTTTGGAACACAGGAGTATAATATAAAGGATATAAACCAGACAGTGGACTGGAGTAAAATATTAGTATCAGTTATTTTCTCATTTTCTCATATAGAGATCTTTGGAGAAACAAACACAAGAAAGAAGACATAGAACTTAAGGAGTAATTCTTTATTTAGGGAAAACATTTCTTAAGTGTCTTTCTTTACTTTTGTTAAGACGTGATATGTTGGTGCTGATTCTCACCTAAACATATATTTGAGATCAGATTTGTGAATTGCTTAGGATTGTATCTCCGCTTAAATGACTGAAAGATTTTTCATCATTATGCGTATTTTTATTGCATGTTTGTTTTAATTAGTACTGAGTGGATAGTGTGCAAAAAGTCATGTGTTAAACCTCGAATGCATGAGCAATGGGTCTAATCCACAAAGATAGCATGGTACTGATATAAAATACAGAAATGATTATGTGATTTGTGGATGGAAATGATGATCTTATAGGCATCAAATTTCATTTATCAAACATGAATACTTGGTTTTGGTTCAGCTCACTTGATCACATTATAATAAATAAGTATAGCATAATAATATATTGATGTTCATAGGAACACAGCATAGAGAATAACTCACTACCTCTGAGAGCTGTATGTTTATGGTTCTACTAAGTAAAAAGCTTATGGGTGCTATCACAGTGAAATTTTAATCTAGATATAAAAATTTAATTCTGACAAAAAGAATTAGGAGAATTATATGACAAGAAGGGAAGAGTGCTAGAGGCAGAGCTTCAATAAGATCTCTGTGGTTAGAGTAAAAGGAGATTGCTATGTTGCAGACAAAGATGTGGAATGATTAAACTTTTAAACTTTCAATTCTTTTTTTTTTTTTTTTTTTTAGAAAGACTTTCACTCTGTCACCCAGTCTGGAGTGAAGTGGGTGCAATATGGGCTCACTGCATCCTCTGCCTCCCAGCTTCAAGCAGTTCTCCTGCTCAGCCTGCTGAGTAGCTGGCATTACA